GCTGATAATCATCAGGCATAATTGCTTGCTTTCACTCATACAAAATAAATACTGTTGAGATGCATGACGAAAGCTTGATTTCTTGAGCATAACCCCCTCCCTAGTAATCGTAATGAAAAAGATCGTAACAGAGCAAGGAGATGAGTAGAGTCATTCTGGAAATACACTGGTGTAGGTGCAGCTCGATCTAGCAGAATCGTAGCAGTTGGGTTAAATGCATATTTGCCAGGGAAGATGTTGGGAAGAATTCATTAGAATATGCTGTAGGCATTTGTAGCTGAGATCAAAGAAAGAAGCCCCTACTTCTAGCATGTAATTCAGAGGTATTTTAGAAGCCTATCTTAGGATAAAATGGATTGTGCCTGGCCTCCAATGACCAGACTCCAGAGATTGTCAAAGAAGCACAGAACAGTTATATAAATTCAGTCTTTTTCATAGTAGAGATAGCTGTGACCGGAGTCTGTGTTTGCAGAAAGACCATGCACTAGTGGAGCGATGGCTGACAAACAATATAGCTTTATCATGCATGCAAGTTTGCCCATTGATGATATATTCATTATCATACAGATACTCTGTTCAGACATTATAGGCTTTCATTAAGCAGTCACTGTCAATGTTTGTGGGGTTTGTTCTATTTTGGATACTGCATTGTGGTCTGAAAACTGTATTATTTACTGATAGAACCATTTAGGTTCAAATTTTAAGCAGCTCAATTTTATTTTAATGGTATGATATTTCATTTTGTTATATAAGGAAAGCTTGTTAAAATAATTTCAACTTCTTTGACAAAGACTGATAGACTTTCTACTGCATTCTGTTATTTTTATTTATAGAAGATTCTCTCCTGTGTTCTTATCCTTTTCTTGATCTCTAGCACTTTTTTTCTGAAAAAAAGGAAGGCTATTCTGGAAACTGACTGAAGTAAAACAATTGAGTATGTCTAAGGTGGACCTCGTGCAAGCCTTTGTAACCACTTTTCATGATGCTGTACTGAAAATCCTCAGATATATTTCTATTTGAGAACTTTGTTTCTATTTTTGGCCATGAAACATTGCTGCACATTGTTGGTAAGTATGAGCTCACTTCACTTGATCAACAAATTAAAGTTTCCATCCTACACGATTTTTCAACATTATGATTTGAATTTTAAGCCCAAATTGTGCTGTTAGGTTGAACCGCTAACAATTCTTCACAGATTTATTTGGTCTGGCTGGAGTTAATTGTCGCTATAGCAGCCCTCACAGCGCTGTGCTGTGTATTGCCAGCCAGCAAGGTGTTGGTAACACACAGGTGTTTTGGCTATTAATGGGCAGGGCTGGCACAGCACCAGGGCTGTCTCTGTCCAACATTTCCTTCCCCCTCACCACTAGGCTGGGGGTGGGCAAGATCTTGGGAGAGGACACAGCCAGGACAGTTGACCCAGACGGTCCAAAGAGATATTCCATACCATAATGATGTCTGCTCAGCAATAAAAGCTCAGAGAAAGGAGGAGGAAGGGGGGTATTTGTTATTTATGACCTTTGTCTTCCAGAGGCCTGCTTCCTGGGAAGAGGCTGGACATTGCCTGCTGATGGGAAGTAGAAAATAAGTCTTTTGGTTTTGGTTTTTTTCCTTTGCTTCCCTGCATGACCTTTGCTTTTGCTTTATTAAACTGCCTTTATGTTGACTCATGAGGTTTTTTCCATCTCCTTTTCTCCCTCCTGTCCTGCTGAGGTGGTGAGTGATAGAGCGGCTTGGTGGGCATCTGGTGTTCAGCCAAGGTCAACCCACCACAACAGAGAAGAGTGTTTCAGAATTCAACTGCTCTGAAAACAAAAGGATTACTTTCATGAATGATTCTACCCACCTGTGGGGTGAAATCTGAAAGGAACCCATGTAGCAGAAAAAATATTTCTTTCCTTTATTAGTGTTTTGGTATGAAAGTTTTACAAAATCATAAAGTCCTCAAACTCACCCAGTATTCTTTTTTCGTATCCCCTCTTACCTGAATGACTCCTCCACCTTGGCCATCCTTCCCAGCTAAAAACTCTGCAGGTAAATTAATCATCTTCCCTAGCCAATCCAGCATGACAGTCTCCAGCTCTGTGCAAGCAGGACTTGCGGCCTGTGTTGAAAAATAGAACAGAGGGAATAACATCACTAGACCATGAGGAGAAATAGGATCCACCAGAGCAAGAATAACTCTCTCTCTCTGTGTGTCTTTTGATTATAGAGGAAGAGACTGCTGACTAACTTCACCAGCTAAATTAGGGACCTGAAGATCATTTTGTGCATGTTGTTTCTAGTACTTACTAAAAAAATGTCAAACTAGGCCTCACGTAGAACCATGACTATCAAATGTCAAAGCTACCAACCTCATTTGAGAAGAACCAATCTCATATGAATGTGGAGTTTTTTTAACACAATTTTCCATTCATCCAGATGATAAAAGAAATAGCAACACCCGGTGATAGGCAACAGTGATATTACTTAATGAATTACCAGTGAGTTTGCACTGCTACCACTAACTTTAAATGATGGTGATTTTTCAAGGGGAAAACTTCTAACAGGAAATAGCCTTTTATTACGGGAGTCATTTAGAGTGCCTAAGTGAAAACACTTAATTGGTCAACGAAATTTACCTATAAAAATTGTCCTGTGACTTCACTGCTCTTAATCAATAATTTCGTTGAAGAATGTTACTGAAATGCTTAAAATCTTGGCAAGGTGAAGCACCATTACCACACAGGAGTACATACCCCAGTAAACTTACCCAAGAGAAGCCCACACATCCTATTCCACCACACAACATATCTGCAAGAAGAGCTGGGAAGGAAGAGGCTGCAGGGAAGTAGGCAAAAAAGTATGGACTGTGCCAGTGAGTCACCTGTATTTAGGGGAAAATGGTCACTTTTAATGAATGCAGGAAGCGGAAACAAATTGTCACAAAGTCAGAAAAGATTGGAGGTTGGGACCAGTCGACAATTCTCTGCTACCTGTCTGTAACACAGGATCCCCTTTTTTAGAAAAGCTTACCTTGGTTTTTCTCAATTTTTTATCTATCTATCTTTTACTCAAATTAGAAATAAATTCTTGCCCTCACCTCCCAACAGTTCCAAAATCAGAGTTCTCCAATTGTCTACCTAGAAGACAAGAATTGCATGGGCAGTGGCAGCGTGAGTTTTTGTGCAGGGCACTCTTCTTGAGCCTCTGCTTTCAGGGACTCTGGTAGTTTGTTCTTTCATCTCTGTCATGTGACTGACTTAGCAAGAGTGTCTTCAGTGCAGCAGAGGTTCACAGAACTCTCTTGCCCACTCTCTGGAGTTATTTGCTAACATTCAGGCACTGAATCTGGCCAAATAGCTCCTCACCACAAAATGAAACAATCTATTCCAGTATCCAACGACTGCTGTAGAAAATTAAACTATCATGTCCCTATAACAAGTGGGGATTTATGTACAGTTCCACTTTATATGTACTAATATGAGAGAACAACAAAACAACTGAACAAATTGTAGTCAATATTCTTGCAGCAGCAATATTTAGAACTATCTTATGCAATGTCTAAGCAATTTTTAAAGATCTGTGAGATACTTGATAGTGCTCCACAACTCCAATCTAATAAAATTTGAAAACAGGAAATGTACTGCCACACTGCAATGTTCAGTCAAAATAATGTGATATGATATGTTTGGCAAAAACAGCTTTCACATGCAAGATAAAAGGCAAATTTTAGGAAAAAGTTCTTCTAGAAGATTAGATGGAATATAAGCAAGAATTCAACAGAATGTGTGTAAGATCTTTCCTTGACTGGAAATCCAGAGGCTGCTGAGATATTGAAGCCTAGCCTTTTCTTATGCCGGTTCTTTTCTTCTTTTTTTTTTTTTTAATGCTGGAGTTCTGTTACTGCTGGAGGATGGTAAGAGCATCCTGAGAGCATCACTTGCTGAGCTCAGTGTTTCCTTGCTGTTTTGTTCCACATTCCTACCTCTAATAAATTTTACTTTTCACACTCCCCTCTCTCCCAGTCTGTGACAAGGTTTCTGGTTCTGGAGCTAACTCAGGGATCACTGTACCGCACTGTTCTGCATGCTGCAAATTTATTTCCTCTTTTCCTTTTATTTCCTCTTCTAACCTTCTTCACGTGAAGAACCAGCTCTACTTTAAGGGACATGCTTCATGCTAAGGGGAAACTGTCTTAAATCTTGTATACACAATGAATCAGATATCACTTCTTCTGCTGTAGTATAATATATATAGTATTTCAGATGACCCTATCTCTTTCATATGAAACCAGCTCATATCCACAACCTGGTATGCTCAAGATTTCACTTTTACTGGTCGCTAGGTCCAAACCTGCTCAAGTCAAGTATCCAAAGACAAGCCACTGTGAACAGTTTTAGCTGTATCTCTTATATCTGGTCAGGATCTCTTTCTTCAACAAAGTTTTAGAGCACTTGCAGCAAACACCTTCACAAACAGAAAAGAAATGGGATGGGACTTGGTTCTTCACAGGAAAACAATAAATAGATAAAAAAATACGCAATAAACAGCGGTCCCTGATAGGACCCACGTGCACAGGCTTTCACTGATGTCCATAATGAGCCAGGGCTACCACTGTTCATCTCCCCAGCTCTAATCCTCTGTGATCTATAAGACTTGTGACATTCATCTTGGGTTAATCAAGTTAAACTGCCTACTTGTTGGGAGCCATTTGTTTGATGAAACACAGCAGATTCCAGTTGCACTACTCACACAAAGAGAAAAAGCCAAAAGCCCTAGGGCAAATGCAGCTGTAGTTCTTCCTCCTGCCTCCCCTTCCCCCTTTGCTTGAAGCAGCTGTAAAATTCATTTCTTTTGCTATGTTGGAACAGACACAGTCAAATATTGCAGAGTGTGACATAATTGATGCTTGTTTTTTCAGTCTTCTGCTGATAAACAATGATACACAAGTGTCTTGGGTTCAGTAATTACCACTCTAATGCTTCTCAGAGACATTTTATTTCCCAGATTTCTTCTAAGGATGTCTTTTGTTCCTTGGCTTGCTTAGTCTAAGCAAGAGTCTTCCTTTACCACACCCTAAGGATAGGTACTTCAGCTGAAAGTTCATAGATTAATGGATCCAATGTGAGGAAAATTAGCATCTTCAGTACTGCTATTTGCAGTTACAACTAAACTTGATCATTTTTAGCTCTGAAAAAAGAGGAGATATACTTCAGGAGAACAGAGGAGGCTGATAAGAGAAATGTGACTCCCACTGATATTTCTACATGCAGACTCCTCCCACCTTGGCCTCCTGCTGTGGAAATCAGAGTTCAGCAGTTGTTCTCTCAGTCCCTGTGTTAATATTATGAACTTAGCACCATTATGGACATTATCATTTAGTGGACTGCCCTTTGAAGGTCTACATCCAATTTCACAAGAAGTCTCCATAATGAAGTTTTACCACTCATGAATGCTTGTTATCCTGTAGGGTAAAGACAGCAATAGATACTGCATTATTGCTTTACACAATTAATTGATCCTTGCTCCTCTGAAGGAACACTATTTTCACATTTTCATTCATCCAATAAGTAGCAAAAATCTGAACACAAGTAGCACAGTAAAGTTATCAACATTATGGGCAAAACAAGGTTTTATGACCTCTGTCATACTACTTATTTTCTCTGAGGAAGCCCAGTTTCTCATTTATGAAATGGAGATGTCATTCCCCAGTGAAATACTGGAAAAGTTCTATAGCTGAAAACCACTAGAACTAGCACATAATAACGAAGTGCTGAGAGGACAGCATTATAGGGGGAAGCTCTCATATCTTTTCTGGGAAATCAGAACAAGTGGGTGCCTCTCTGAGGCACCTGTATGCTATGGCATGACACGTGGGAAGCAAACAGAAGTTTGAAGGCCGTGTGCAGTTATAGGGCTGTCATCACATTGAGATGTGGTGGGATAGCTTGCATGACTGAAGTGCTGCAGTAGATGAGGACAGGCTCTTTATGAAGGACAGACCAGGAAGGTGAGGCAGGGGAATGGT